TGTTAAATTGTAAAAATTGTAAAAAAGTGCATAAATATGCATCTAAACCCTTGAAATAAAGAATATCATTAATACTTGTAATACAGAAACAATAAATTAGTAAAAAAAAAAATTTATAATGTTCATTGTAGGAGTTTCGTTCGTTATAGCATTATCAATTTTATAGGTAAAACCGTTCAAGATAGGAATATTTGTAGTAGATCCGTTCGTTATAGCATACCCGACTGTAACTACTAACCTGCCAAGGGGCTGGCATTTACAAGAAACAGAGAAAATCACTCATGACCACAGGCAGGCGGGTGCTCTGCTGTTTTTTTCATTACTCTCTCTAGGTTTCAGGAGTCATGAGTGTATTTCTCCACCAACACCCGTAACATGCTTCACACATAGGTTCAGAATGCACCCATACTTTAAGGTACTAACAGCCTTTCACAAACTTTTGAAGAGGAACCCTATCCCAAGTGTGCAATCAACCATGAGGAATGTTGATTACACACCTGGACTTGGTTATTTTAATCACATACTCCCAATACTGGGAAGATGAATGTCTCTATGTAACCACTAGACTCCCGGTCCCAGTGTATGGCCTTTCATTCACTCAGTCTGCACTCAGTTTACTCCCAGTACTTCACGGACAGGAAGAGAGTGACCGTCAGCCCGCCTAATTAGACCAGTTCAGAGTACAACCGGGTGAACCCTGCCCAGCTGAGGGAGGAGTTCTACTTTCCTGTTAGTAAGATTTTTCACTGACTGACTGAAGAGATGTGGTGTTGTATGAACCAAGGTGGGGAGATTTGATGAACCAGATTGAACACCGACCAAAGTGTGGATGCTGGTACCACGTAGTTAGTCGTCAGAGACACCTGTTTGCCTCGTGCGTTGCCAGCTATATATTCCAAACCTGAAACACCGACCAACTGACCATCACCCGCCAACCAAGTGGGTTCTCGTAACCCTGCAAAAGGAGCACTCTGTTAGCTACTGTTAAATTCTTCTCCGCCGTATCTACACACTGTCTAAGATCTAATAAAAAACTTACTTGCAACACTGATGAAACGCTGCGGAAGGCGAGGCCGCGTGGTCGTTTTCCTGGCAAACGTGTGGTAGACGTCCGTTTGGTCAATGACGGCGTGACTGGGCCCGGTCATCGCATCCTTCAGGCGTCGCCTGCCCCATGATGTCATCTTGTACTAATAGTTTCTGGGACACGTAACATATTTAGACTGAAACTATCCAATACACAAATTTTAATATTGTCCCTTAACTTCAGAATCGTGTCCAATTAATTTGATAAAGTACATTTAGTTTTCTTTAGGCCTAGTTAAAATGCTTCCACCTCCCCGCTCTATGCGTTGCTTGGAGGTCTTGTTTTAGCCTATGCGTGGTTGTTTCAGCCTGGCCATGCTTTCCTGTTCAGCAGATCGGTTATTTCTGTTCTAGATTTCTAAATATCACATTGAAATTTCTGATTATATATATATATATATATATATATATATATATATATATATATATATATATATATATATATATATATATATATATATATATATATATATATATATATATATATATATAAATATATATATATATATATATATATATATATATATATATATATATATATATATATATATATATATATATATATATATATATATATATATATACTATATATATATATATATATATATATATATATATATATATATATATATATATATATATATATATATATATATATATATACCTCACTGCAGTTAATTCCAGCCCAGGCGTAAAGTGAGAAACGCGTAAAGTGAACAACATAACATACAGTATGGGATTAATGAAATGAGGCCGGGCAGACCCCCAAACTCCACTTTTCTCCGACACAATATGTCGTATATATACATATAAAATATATCCATATATATATAAATATATCTATATATATATAAATATATCTATATATATATAAAATATATCTATATATATATAAATATATCTATATATATATAAATATATCTATATATATAAATATATTTTATATATATATAAATATATTTATATAAATATAAATATATATATATATATATATATATATATATATATATATTTTATATATCTATATATCTATATATATACTGTACATATACATATATATATATATATATATATATATATATATATATGGTATATATATATATATAGTATATATATATATATATATATATATATATATATATATATATATATATATATATGTCAATGAACCCTCACTTTACGCTGTTAATCTCAAAACCCTATGCCCGCCAGAAAGTGAGAAACGCCAGAAAGCGAACAACATAACATATGGGATTAATTTGAAATAGAGACCGGGTCAAATCAAACTGCCTTTCTCCCACATTAAATATGTATTTTTAATGTGCGCCTAATGATTCCAAATTTTGATGAAGAGTTCCACCAATGATAATAGAGAAGTGTTCAGCCCACAAACCACACAGGTTGAAAACAGGACAAGCCACCACTAGCATGTGAGTGTTGTTCCTGGCAGTGGAAAATATCAACCCCATAGCCCACGCATCCACACCGTCGGTGCCTCACAAACCCCAAAGTCATCACCACCAGCCCCGCCATCACTGTCAGCTGGCTGGTGGTGGGTTGGCGGGCTAAGAACTCTGTTATGCTTTGCTGACGGCTGGTGTTTGCGTTGTCATGATAAACCTGATGTAGAGCTCCATAGACTGCAACAGCTGGGTAGTGAAGATTTCATACCGCTTCATGCCAGGGTCGCCGAAAGGAGGAGCATGACTTTCTCGCTAATACACTCGATGGCACCCCTAATATTACTATGGGGAGGCGGCGCTCTTCTTGGGATGACGACCACCCGCCCCTTCACCACGCCATCATCATCATCTACCATCTTATCGGTAGTCACATCAGATCCCTTATCACCTCCAGGATGTCGCCGTTGGTGGTCTCGGAGAAGCCCCAAGAGTCAGAATATCGACTTGGCGCAGCTTCTCTGGCAAGGTCCAACGGCTACTGCAACAGTCTGAACTCCAGTCACAGATTTATTTCTGCCCAACACCCGTACGCCTTGCAACACATGTCTCCATGCGTGACGAATAGTTGTGCATATAGACAGATCCCATGCCCACCAAGAAGTCCATACAGCTTTCTTTGACGTTGAATGTTCTCCAGAATGTTTGCACTTGCTCTGCCAACTGTTGATTGCCATTCTCGCTTCCCAATGTGTTGGTGTCACCTGCGCTTTACGAACTCTTCCCTTGGTGTTGGTGTAGTAGTTCAGTAGGTTGAATTTATTCAAGAGAGAATGCAGCTCTTACATTACAGATAAATTCTTAACCAGCGTTGTACGGCACTTAGTGGGAGGAAGGAAGACCACTTTATGTTGGGGTGATGATCTAACAGTAAGTGAGTGTCCTGCGCGTTGTCCAGCAGCAACAAAATCTTGAATGGCACATTCGCCGTTTACAGAATTTCTTCTACATCGGGAACGCAAACAGTCATCAAACTATAGGAGAGGACAGTGTAGAGAACATCCACGCTTTACGCGGCGGCCGCCAGTGACATTTAGCTTGGTCATGTCCATGCTCTTGTAGGCGCGGCGTTTATGTGCTGTGTACCTGCAACTTGAGCCAAGGCACCGAGGCATTGCAACAGGACGGTGATGTGCTCCTTCTGCAACTTCCTCGCCGCCTTTATACTCGCTGGCATTCTTCGTAACGGTAAGGTCTTGAAGGTAGTTTTTCCAAAAAGACCAGATTCGTCCATGTTAAACACCTGTCATCGGCACGCCCTTCCATAATCTCACGAAAACGAGGAAATCAGCCGCACATTGAAGTCAGCATTACTTCATCACCACCTCAATGTTATTGGTGATCTTGTTTCTCTAAACCTCTGTAAACCACCCAGGAGGAAGCTATATTAAAGGTTTGGCTCGTAATTCTATCTTTCAGTGACACTGCAGCATGCTGTGCTCACGGGCGTATTCTTAACTGAGCGCTGCATCCACCGCCAGCGTTCCGCCGCTTCGATGTACCCAAAGTAGCCAAGCAATTAATTGTTCTTTCTTGAGAAGCACCTGGTTGTGGTAATATTTTGATCACAGAAGCACCTGTAGACTTTGTGATAAACGCATCCTTCTAATTGTCCTGATCGTAGAGACTCTCAGCATCACCATGTTGGCGCTACGAGATCAACTTTGCCCTTTGTTCTCCAACTTCTGTATGATCTTACTTCTAATTTCGTGAGTTTAAGGAACGCCGGTTTTGGTTTAGGTGGCTAGGTCCAGGTAATGCAAGGTTTCTTTTGTGGTGGTGGTGGTGTCCGTGGAAGCCGGCCTTCTATGGGAACGGCGATACCGACATATACGTAGCCTGAGGTAAATCGATGCGGTAGGCTCAGGGGCTTGAATGCCCCGCCGCGGGCACGCTATTAAACCACCGCTGTGCTAGCAGCGAGGAAGGTAAGTGATGTTTTGCCTAATCATACAGTCCGCTACGCCATATGACGCCACCAATAACGATCAAAGACATACACTGTGTACCTACTCGATCCCCTCAACCCGTGAAGCGGGGTACACGCACCGCGAAAGTATATCGCCGCAGGGGCACCGGGCAAAATGTGGAAACGCCAGAAGTGGGACCACATAAAGTGAGGGTTGACTGTACCTGTATATATAATCAGAAATAACTAAAATTCTATTCTAGCTCCCTTTAGCTGTCCTGAATAAACTTACAGAACTCTCCAAATATATAAGTAAATATATCTTCTCATGCATGATCTATGAATTAAATGATTTTACTAAAGCATGTGATAAAGTAGAAGTTGCAGGTTTATGTGTATGAATGTTTTATTTCACTAGTAACTGAAAGTAAATTTTGCCTTTCCATTAATATTCTGCCGCAGCTAATTTTAAACTGTGTATGTACCTATTTACTTGAGCCCCAGTCTGTATTAGTTATCTTTCATCTTCCCTCACCTGTAGGTAGACAACCAAGAAATCTTCACTGAGGAAACGACAATCCAACTCTTCCCACCTGAGAAAGGTCCACTTCTCTTCTGAGCCTGATGTAAACACTTTTTCTTTTGTTGTTCCTTTTTACTTATTGGATTTTATTAATCTTTATTCTATAGTCATAAAGGAAGATGGTATTTCTTAACATCCATATAATTCTTTTAATTGTATTCTAGTTAAAAAAATTATATGATCATAAGATAGCCATGGAAGCACTACTGTTAGGCAGTAGTTCTAATCTTATCATCTACAAAAACTCTTTTCTGTGGGCAGCACCTGCACACAATCAACTCAGGTAATCATTGTAAGAATTTAAGCAGCACCTCCATGCATTTTACTTGAGTAATCACAGTATAAAATTAAGGAATGCATTCATGGGACACAGTTTCACAAGAGATACAGATATTAATTCTTCTGCAATTTTATTCAAAATACTTAACCGCCCAGGACTTGAAATTTATTTAATGTGCCTGCTTACTCACTGTGTTTGGAGCCCCCAGAATGACCAGAAATCACGGAGAAGTTATTTTCTCTGAGCATCATTCATACAATGACATTGTCAAATATTTATTCAAATGATGCCTTCTTGCAAGGGTAAATGGTTGAGAAATCACATGAAACTCTAAAAAATTATAACTAAATAAATACCTGTAAAAGCTACAAAGAAAGTATCAGTGAAAAATGAGAGTTTACTGTTGATTCCTCTTCGTGCTGTACCCACATCATTGTATCAGTCAGAATAAAATGCACAGGGTAAGAAAGAGTAAATCATGAGGAAGACGATGGTGTAATCAGAATAAAAAGATGAGATGTAAAAAGTAATGGAGTTACAGAATAAAAAGTAAAAATAAGTGGCTGTTAGGTGTGTAGTCACAGAAATGTTTATATAGTGGTCCCTCGGTTAACGAGATTTCGGTTAACGAGTTACCTTCCATAAGATTCTTAACTGCTAACGAAAGCAATTCCTCTACGCACCTAGAAGTTTTCTAGCCAACTCTCAACATGTTTTCGCTTGCACTTGACGTCAACCAACTGTAGTATTAGTCCGGCCAATACAGTAATCGGTTCTAGGGCTTAAAATTCTACTATTTTAGTAAATATCAAGAAGTTTATACTATTCAATAATTTTAAAAGTTTAATATTAAAATTTTTTAGTCATTTTGCACAATTAGTGAACATAATTGAAGGTAAGTGAAACTAAGTCATGCAAAGCCATCCAGCCTGTCAACACACCAAACAGAAAAGTTAGTCTCTCTGTCTTTTTCAGTGAGGTAACATCTTGCTTGAGACTCTCTTCAATTAAACGTTTTTCTGTGTTTCCGTAAGCACCATGGTCATTTTAAAAATTTATTTTACATATTGACAATATATAGCTTAGTGCAGTGTTATTTTAAAGAAAATATTCTTTGTTTACAGCAAGTTTAAACTTAAAATATCAAGTGTTAAGATTTTTTGAATCCAGCATTGGGCCTAAGAGATCAAGAAAAGCTTTATTTCAATCCAAACTAAGCAGGAAATTATAAAAAAACATGAAGAAGGCAGTGTTAAAGCAGATCCCTAATTCCAGGAACAGAGAGGTTACTTCTCATCTACTAGGGAAAAACAGATGAAAGGTGATTCAGTTTCTACTGAATTTATTTGTGAAAGAGCCAGGGAGATTTTACTTAACATTTAAGATAGGTCAACCTGGTTCTTTAGGTAACAGAATTTGAAGATTTAGGCTACAAAGGCTGGTATACTGCCAGATTCTGGGGTCACTAAATCTAAGGGATAACTTAACTCTAATTCACTTCTATGGTCGCTGCCACTCAGACCCCCTGATGGCATGCAGCTCATAGGTAGCGCGTATGTGGACTAGGCATTGGGTTAGTTTTCCATTGACCAGATCGATATGGGTAAAGAAGGGTGAAACTATAACATGTCTTGCACGGATTTATTCCTTATCAAACATACCGGAAAAGTCATACATGAATTGGCCTTCCTCAGAAGAACAACGGAAATGGTTACCCAGATGGGCCCCAGACTCTTAGATTGATGGGCGGTCATCCACCTACTTATTGCATAACAATCTGTGACCACCGCATTCTGTCGCCTCTTCTTACAATATCCCTTTAACACATCAGACTGCTCCACCTGTGTGGAATATAGCACCGCCGGTTATCATACATGAAGTAGCACCATTCAACACACCTGTTATACCCTATACCCGTGCGTTATGCCCTCTTGTGACTTTGGGTATGATCAACGGGCACCTCGTCGCGACACCGCCCTCGTAAAGACGCAGGGCTTTCACCTAGAGACATACCAGCACTATTTCACGCCGGTATTATAGGTCGCCCAAGTGACGACCGCAGTTTCTCACGTCTCCTTAGTTGTGACTATTCATTTGGAGTGGTGCGCTGGAAATCAGCAGGCCCGCGTGGACTGGTATATGAGCCGTCCCCACCTGTTGTGACGCCAAAGGACAATGGCGGCTTCAGCGCGCTGGGTACCTCACCATGGCACCTGAGGTGACGGTAGAACGCAGGAGGACTGAGAAATAATGCCTGACGGGCGGCAATCCCACCCCTTAACACCTTCCTATCACACTTATATATCCGCAAAGCTTAAACTGTAGTGTAACTTATATTTATCAACTCACTATAGGGCGGATATAGCCCGCTAGGACACTGACCTGAGTGACGGGGTAGAACGAGGAGGACTTGAGGGCAGTGCCTGCCTCGGTCACATAGGCCTACAGTTTCCAACTTCAATTTACACTTTTGTTTCTTATGGTTCTCACCTGAACACTTTTCGGTATATTGTCACTCATGTCTTATAAACACATATTTTAATCCTAAATTACACACCAAGGTAAGGTCTTGGTTTGTTGCCTTTGGGTAAATGCCTGGGATTATAATATCAACGCGGCATCTGAGGCGTGGTACATGACGCCGCTTTGAAACAAAGGCTGAATGTTCATGGCGGGTGTATCAACTTCACTTAAAACTGTAATGAGGATCCTCCTCTCTCACACATTGCACTATTTGAACATATACAAGATTCTCTGATCACTGTACCTGTCGGGGTATATGTCACGGAGGCTACGAGGTGTATTAAATTCATACCGACAAGATACATCTATATTCCTTTCAAGTATAGTTTCTGGATCACTGTCAACACTTCGTACATAGTTCTGATACATTTATCCTTTTTCTGCATCTATTGTTCTCATGTATTTTCATATGATATCTGTTGGAGTTATGTTCGCTACACGCCACAGACGAAATAGTATGACCTTCAAACCCCTGATCCACATTTAGTCTTACAGTACACAGTCCGCTCAATCTGGACTTTTTTAACATCTTCCTACATACCCCGAGTGATCCTTAATGCTATGAATACATACACTTTAATGATGGATATAACTGTACCTGGGTACACATAAACATACGGCTCCAAAACCCGGAGTATGAGCGTTCCCTTTACTTCACTGCTTCCGCTTTCTGAGGTTCTACAAGCGCTGTGCATTTGTTATGCAGCTAATACTGGTAAATTTAAATGGGATTTTTAGGGATGACAATGATGTGCTTATACAATTTGGTTCACAAATTTAAGAAAAGAAGTGACATATTTAGTGTAGCGCATGGAGGCCAAGTTTGTGCTGATAGCGAAGTGCAGCAAAAGCTTTAGTGAAGTTTAAAGAACTGATGGATGAAGAAAATTATCTCCATAAGCAAGTGTTCCATGTGGACTTAAACTGGGCTGTTTTGGAAAAAAGTGAGTCTGCAAAAGAACATTCATCACCAGAGATGAAGGCTTCTTGTACCCGGGCATAAACCCATGAAAGACCGTTTCACTCTATTGCTTGGTGCCAATGCTTCAGGGATTTCCCACTGAAGCCTTAGCGGTATGCTTGTCACCACCTATAAACCTCATATGGGTGCCGGAGCCTAATATTGTCCAACCAGCATGGGTGACAAGACAGCTCTTAATGAATGGGCCATGAGGCTGCCTCTCTGTGAAGAGCTACTCCAATAACCACCAAAAAACTCCCAAAAGGCTCTTTCTCCTCCTCACCCCGCACCTCCCACGGAACCCAAGTGCACTTTCCTGCACTTTCACTGCAGGCCAGCCAAAAAGCGGTCCAGTGGTTGGATGAGGCACGCATGCGATGGACCTGGACGGAATATCTCCTCACAGGTTCTGAGGGAGAGTGTGCTGGGGCCCCGCCCCTGTGCTGCCTCACTTCGCCTGCTCAAAAACCAAACTTTCTTCTTGTGCAAGCATGCCTTGTTCAGCCTATCCCAAGAAGGATGACCATTCTAATCCCTCTAACTATTCCCCATTGCCCTAACTTATCCCTCTCTAAGGTTTTCGGAAACTATCATGAACTCCCATTTTCTCCTGCCACCTTGAACGCTTCTTTGTCGGATCACCACAGCTTCTGGCTTGTATGGTGATTCATCATGATCTGTTTCCCATTGCACCCATATTTGGTCATCCTCTTAGGGATTATGGGGAAACTTTGTCGCGGTTTCATTATCTCCCAAAGCATTTGACAGGGTATGTCAAGCAAGTCTTATCTAAACTTCCCTCTTTGGTTTCTTCCCCACATTGCTTTCTATCTCTTAGCTTCCTATAAACCGATCCATGGTGCAGTTGCTGTCGAAAGGATCGCATTTCTCGCCTTTTTCTACCAGTAGTGGCTGCCCTACAGGGTTCTCCTTATTCTTTTCACCAACTTTCCTTCTTTTATCAATGATTTACTACACTACAACTAATTTATCCATTCTACGCTTGATATTCTACCTTCACTCTTTCCTCATATTTTCTCCCTTCCTCCTACTCAAATTAGATCTGTTTCGAGAACTGATATCATTATTTCTACCAACGGATCTGTGCAGCATCTCTGAATGGGGAAAATAAACTGTGGCTTTGGCCCACAGTAATAAAACTCACATTTCCCAATTCACTTTTGTAAATGCTAGACACCTGCCCACGCATTTCAGAACGCAACCATCCTCCCAAAGTCTGAAATAGTGTTAGGCCTTACCATTTCCTCCAATATGTCCT